ATTTACAGTTGCTGAAACTCTATGCAGGGTTGCTAAGAATCAGAACTGACCCCATGGTACACCCCAACCAACCAAACAAACAAAAAGTAACTGTTAGAAGACATAAAATAGTGATTTTTAAGCAGTTTTGAAAGTGGTGTTCAGTTTCCTATTGTAAATTTCTAATTTTATAGCATTGTGATCTGAGACAATGCTTTGTAGTATTTTTAAAATATTTAAATTCACTGAGGCTTGCTTTATGATCCCAAATATCGTGTATTTTGGAGACTGTTCCATGTGTACTAGCAAGAATGTATGCTGTGCTATTGTTGGGTAGAGTGGTTTGTATATGTCTGTGATGCCAAGTTGGTTGATTGTGTAGTTTATCTTTTTGTCTTTTTTGAGTTTGTTTCCAGTTCTATTCTTCACTGAAATTAGCAATTGAAGTCTCCTATTATTGTAGAGTTGTATATTTTTCTCTTCAATTTTTGAGTTTGATTTATGTCAGTTAAGGTTCTTTCACTGGTTGCATTAAATATTTATTATGCATATGTCCTCTTGTTCAATTGACCCCTTATTTTTTCTATATTGTCGTTACTCGTCTATTATGCTGGTTTTTTGCTTTAAACTCTGTTTTATCAGAAATTAATGTTGCCATTCCTACTGTTTTTGGTTGCCATTTACTTGAGATATATTTTTCTGTTCTTTGATTTTCAGTATTTTTTATCTATGTGTGTAAGGTATGCCTCTTGTAGATAGCATGCTAATAAATCTGTTTTCTTATCTATTCTGCTACTCTCTGTCTCTTGACTGGTGCATTAAATCCTGTTACTTTCAGTATAATGATTGATAGGTATAGATTTATTATTGTCATTTTGCTGTTTATGTGTGTTTTTTTTTGTGGTTCTTCTGATTTCTTTGTTCCACATTTGCTATGCTGAGTTCATTTTGTTTGTGATTTTTCTTATTTCCTTCATTGCTATTGCTTTAATGTTTACTAAATCTTTATGGTTCTCCTCTTTTTTATTTTGAGGATAAGGTGCAGTAATTTTCTTTGAGATTACCCTATAATCCATTAATCTCTTTCCAAACTTAAATTTTTTTTCTGCCTTGAAATTGGATTGACTTCCTCTCCATTTGAAGTTCTCTAACTGCACTGTTTATCCCCTTTTTACTTTGTAGTTGTTGTCACTATAAATTGGTATTTCTTGTACCCTATTTTTTAAATTTTGTTGGTTTATTTTACTTTGGAAAGTTCTATACCTGGATTGACTTCTGGTTGGCATTGTCATGTGTGTTAATTTTAGGTTGTTGTCTGTTATCTTGAGTATTTGAAAAGTTCTCTCTATTATTTCTTGGAAGGTTGTTCACATTTTATAAATTATTTTAATTTTTGTTTATCTGGAAATGTACTGATTTTATCATCAAATTTGAGGGTCGATTTTGATGGATACAGATTTATTGGATGGCATTTTTTTTGTTGTTGTTTCAACATTTTATGTATGTCATACCTTTACCTTCTTGACTGCAGGTTTTTTGGTGAAAAATCAGAGTTTAGTTTTATTAACACTCCTTTGTAGGTAGCTTTTCAGTTTTTCTGAGCTGATTTTAGCATCTTCCCTTGTCTTTGGTTTTGGAAAGTTTGATTATTATATATAGTGGTGATTTCCTTTTAGAGTCTATCCTGTTTCAATTCATTCAGCTTCTTGAATGCAAATCTTTCATCTTCCAACAAATCATTTGCAGTTTCTATGTGTTTCGTTTTTTGGTCTCTTCTTGTTCTGGGATGCTTATCACATGTAAGTTCTTCTTGATTGTGTCCCACATAATTCTTAGGCTTCCTTCTTCTCCCCCCCACCCCATCCTTTTATCTCATTGCTCATTGTTTCTCTAGAAGAAAGTGTTGAACTATTTGTCCTCAGTCTTGCTAAATCAATAAATCTCCATTAATTCAGTTTTTCTCCTTTGCCTTTTCAGTGTGTCCTGGTGTGGCTTTATAGGATAAGCACTGGACCGCAAGATTGGTTTGAACCACAAGGTCAGTGGCTCAAACTCACCAATTTCTTCTTGGAAAACTTATACAGGATTGCTATGAGTTAGAACCATCTACACAGCACTTAACAACAACAGCAACAATCTATTTCTGAAAGCATAGCATTAATATTCTGAATTTCTTTTATTTTTTTGGTATGATTTCTAAATTTTCATTAATTTTGTCAGTTTGTGCTTGTAGTGTTTTCCTCAATTCTTATAGAGAGTTGTTTGTGTTTTTCTCAATTTTATCTAGTTTCCTTAATCCTTCCTTAATCTATTGAGGATAATAAAATTTTAAAGTTTAGAAATTAAAAAAAAGAAATCTCTAACTTGCTTAAAATGCTTTAGTTTAACTGTGCTTGAAGCTTTTTATACTTGTATAGATATATTCATTCATTCATAATTTAATTACTTAAGAAATATGTATTAAGTATCCTTTGTGCTTGTATGGGATCTGGGAATATAGGAATGGAAAAAAACACACAAATATTTACTCTCATAGATCTTATATTTTAATGAATGGGGAAAGAAGGTAAGCAAAGCAAAAACAAAAACTGGAGACAACAAAAACTTAAAAGTGTATGTTACTTGTCATCAAGCTGACTCCCTTGCAAAATGACCTTATAGGACATAGTAGTACTGCCCCATTAGGTTTCCAAGACTGAAATATTTATGGAAGTAGACAATCGCATCTTTTTCCTTTGGAGCCACTGGTGGGTTAGAACCACTGACCTATCAGTTAGCAGCTTTAACCACTGTGCCTTCAGGGCTCCTCTGTAGTAGATGTTGTTGTTGCGTGCCATCGAATCAGTTCTGACAGCAACCATGTATAGGGGTTTCTGAAGATCGGCTGGTGGGTTCAAACTGACCTTGTGGTTGGTTCAAACTGCTAGACCAGGACTCCATAGCAGTAGATGGAAATAAAACAAGAATGTGAGTATCTGCCAATTTAAAATAATATAGTTAGGGAAGACTTCACTAAAAAGATGTTGTTTGAGTAAAAAACAGAAAGTTATTCATAATAACAACTACATCTAATATAAAACAACAAAATTGTAATATCCAAGGCAATTGGTGATTGGCTAATGTTATCAACATAGCTTCTATTAGATATTTTAAAGTAAATGCAAAATAAAGATTATAGTAATTTATTCCTTTAAGATCAGAATGATGGTTTGACATCATTCTGATTAGAAAAAAAAATTAAATGCTCTGTACATTGTCATCCTATTTTAAATTTGTAAAATAAAAATAATCACTATAGAATTTAAGAAATGATTAAAGTAAATACAAAGTTTAAAAGATTTTTTCTTCGTAAAAATAATGACCTTTACTGCACTCAAAGAGAGAGTCTCTTTATATGATTTTAAAGTAGAATACTATGGGTAATTTTTCCTTATTTAATATTGATTCAGATTTTTCAGATTAAAGAAAACTATGAAAAAAATGAGCTTTGAAGATCAAGGCCATATGATGCAATTCATTCTTTTAAAGTGTCTCATTTTTTTCTCTTTTACTATAAATATGAGTATGTGAGTGTATATTGAAGGTGTCTGAAGGATACATGCTGTTGGTATTAAGTGGCGTCTGTTGTTGTTACATGCCGTGGAGTCGGTTCCGACTCATAGTGACCCTGTACAAGGTTTCTGAGGCTGTAAATCTTTATGGAAGCAGAAAGCCTCATCTTTCTCCCACCGAACAGCTGGTAGTTTCGAATTGCTGACCCTGAGGTTAGCAGCCTGATTTGTAACCACTACACTACCAGAGCTCCTTAAGTAGTGTCTAGTCGATTCCATCTCACAGAGACACTAAATAGTGTGTCAGAGGCATGGATGGCATAGAGACACTGAATAGTGTGTCAGAGGCATGGATGGCATAGAGACACTGAATAGTGTGTCAGAGGCATGGATGGTAGTTTGAACCACCAACCTTGTGCTTATCCTATAGTGCCACACTCAAGTAAATATGAGGATGACACTGTCTAGTTTACTCACTGCTAGTCTGTATTTCTTGCAATTCTGCATGAATTATTTTTGTTATATAATGTTTAAAAGAAAGAAGAGTTTAAACTTTTTTATATTTGAATTATTTTTGTTATGTAATGTTTAAAAGAAAGAGGAATTTAAACTTTTTAAAATTTGAATTATTCTGATATAAATCATATACTTGGACATACATGTAAAACATAACTAATAAAAACATTTGGGAAGATGTTTTTATTAGCTTTGTTTTACATGAAACTTATAGAATACTGCAGCTTATAAAATGTGACTTATAAAATGCTGCAACAAGTATGTATTGCATTATAAAGTTTCAAGAAAAAATAATCTATGAGGAATGATCAGGGATGTTATTTGCATGTTTTTGTTTTTTTTTCCCATTTATTTTTCAATAATGTGGCGTAATTAAAGAAGCAACAAGAAAAGCACAGAGACTTTTACCTTCTCATTAAAATATTTTCAATTAACTGCTTGTAAAGTAAATTGGCATTGTAGGATGAGTGCATATTTCTTTTAAAATGTCTAAGGTTGAAATTCAATAGGAGATTATTTTGAAATTTTCTAACAAATAGCTAAACTGAGCAATGTTCCTTTCTTATTATGAATTTGTGTAATCCTGTGTAACGCTGACCCAAATGAGAAAATAAACGGTGGCATGTGGCTTATTAAATACAAATACTGCAAAAGTAATTTTATTCCATAATTTCAATGAATTTATCCTAAAATTCTTGGCAAATACAGAAAAAAAAAAAAAATCCCGGACTTTCCTAATAATTACTCATGGAATAAATTTGAACAAATAAACATGGCAATAACACAATAGTATCAAAAATTCCCCCTTTCTTCTAATTTGCATGTACAATCAGAGGCTTCAATCCATCTGTTCCCTTTGGTTGACATTGACTTCCTAAAGTGTATGCTCTTCATTATTTAAATCTTGGAACTGTATCCAACAGGAAGCTTAATAATATTGACTGTTTATTTTATAGGTTTTAAAGAAGCTAGAGTCCCAGAGAAGACCTTTGAAGTGTGAAAAGATTTCCTGTAATTGAAATCGAAATGTCATTTATAGATCCTTATCAGCACATTATAGTAAGTCATATGCTGTTTATGTATTTTTGGGTGGAAAGGGGCAGATATATTTCCATGTATAAGTATTTATCCTCTGATAAAGTACTCTGTAATAGACTTTGGATCTTTAAACCAAAACCTTATGAATTAATGTATATAAATAGATTATCATGCATATTAAAATTAACCCATCACTTTTTTTTATCATGGTAGCTTTCCAGAAAAGATACTATGCAGGAATTTAAAAAAACCTGTCCCAATACTGAACTTCATGAAGCAGTAAAAATGTTTTTCACTTAGCATTCATCAGTCTGCACAATCATACCTTCCACATGAATTGGTAAAGCGAGGATAATAGAATTTCTGAGTTGAGGTTTATTTTGATATGCATTTCCAGGGTCTGCATACCAAAAATTAGCTCTGTAAATTTTCCTTTGCAAAAATATGCTTGGACTCCTGGTGTGGTACTGTAGGATAAACACTGAACAGTTCATTTCAAGGTCAGCAGTTCAAATCCACGAGCTACTCCTTGGAAACTCTATACAGGGTTACTGTGAGTTGGAACTGACTGGACAGCACTTAACAACAACAAGAAGATATGTTTAAGGAAGCTCTTTATTGGTAGTTAACTTATGGTAAAGAGTTGAGTAGTTCAAATTTTAGTTTGTAATTTGTCAGACTCTTTTGAATATAAACATTTTTACTTCTGGTTAAAAAACAAAATTCTGAATTCAAGCCTTTATGTTTAGTTATAGCTTATATTGATGAGAAATAGGTTTTGTGAATATTAAAGAATAATCTTCAGTCTCATTTTTACTTAAAATGAACCAGTGTTATTTTATTTTACATCCTTCTCTGGCTTCCAACCGCTTTCATGCTCTGCCTGGATAGCAAAGTTTAATATATTATAATTCCTTTTTCCCTTCCATTCACAACTTGAATCAATGCTTAAGATCCTATAAATTATGTAAATGCGTTCTGAGTTTTACCTAGCACTCTGTGCCATCTTTCACCCTGTCTCTCTGTGCTGACCATTTTCCAGGCTGCCCAAGACCACCCTCTTGAATCATGTTCATGTTGTGTGGAAGCACTGAGCCTTTAGAGAATGCGCTTTTTAGATTCCCCTGCTTTCCTTCCACCCACCCCTCTTCCCTCCATTCCTCTCTGGAGATCATAATAAAGATATATACCCCCTTGACAAGCCTGACCAGCCCTCAATAGCCCTGGGATAAAAGATGAAGCCTCTAGCCAAGGAATTTGTCACAATTTTCTTTTCATTCTCACAATGACTTGAGTGTTTTAAAGCGTCTTTTTTTTTTTTTTTACCAATTTAGCTTATCTTCTATTTTCCTCTTGTGTGTTAATGGTTAGTGTTATTTTCTCTCAGGGCACCTAATGAGGTTTTTAATATAATCCAAAAAAAAAAAAAAAAAACTGAACAAAACAAACAAACATTAAATTGAAGACAGTGGGAAGCAAAAAAAACAAAACAAAGAAAACAATCCAGAAATTAATTGATGCTATTTCATTTAGAAAATTTGCTGCAAAAGAACTTTTTAAAGTGTTAAAAGCAAAGAAATCACTTTGAGGTCTAAGGTGTGCCTCACCTAAGTCATAGTATATTCAATTACCTTATAGATGTGAAAACTGGACAATGAATAAAAATGAATAAATAAAGTTACTGGAGAAAAATTGATGCATTTGATTTAAGGTGTTGGTGAAGAATATTGAATGTTTCATGCACTGCCAGAAGAATAAACAAATCTATCTTGAAAGAAATATAACTAAAATACAATTTGAATGTAAGGATGGTGAAACTTCATTTCATGTACTTTGAACATGTTATCAGGGTGTTCCAGTCTCTGGAGAAGGACATCATTTTTGGCAAAGTAGAGGGTCAGCAAAAAAGTGGAAGACTTCAATGAGCTTGACTAACCCAGTGGCTGAAACAATGGACTCAAACATGATTGTGAGTGCTGTACAGGACCAGGCAGTATATTATTCTGTTGCACATATGATTTCTAAGAACCGGAACCAAGTTGTTGGCACATAACAAGAACACATTGCCTATGGGCTATCTTTCTATAGAGAATCATGTAAAAACCATGTCTCTGCTTCATGTTTTTTGCCTTCCTTAGCATCAAAGTTATACAACTCAGTTAGTAGTCCTTCCAGTTCACAGCGTTTTAGATGAAGACAGTGGTAACCGTTTTATATTTTTGCTCTTCTTTCTATGTGCATATGAAAAAAAACTGTGCATGTATAAAGTATTTTAGTGACAGTATTTCCTGTTTTCACAACATGATATATTAAAAGATAGTTTTTCACAAAAAGATAAAAGATATATAGTGAGGATATTCAATAAAGAGTAGTATTAGTATAAAGGGAAGATGGGGAAAATCAAGCCAACTAGCTGGTAATGAGCAGTTGGTGCCAGGCAGGCCAACACTGTTTTGGCTGCCTCAAGGCAGGGAAGATTGGACTCATTTTCACCACACCTATGATGTAGTGACATGTTGGAGACTCCCATGGGCTAATGCAGCAATTTCAGCCAGCAAGCTCTCTTACTTCCAGTGGTGATGGCTTTTAAGAAGTTGGCATGAAGTCAAGTGTAAACATTAGATAGATGTTAGTTCTCATACCTCTAGAGTTGTTGTTGTGAGGAACTGTCTAACCTTAAAGATATTGTGACTCCAGAATTTATGAAGTTCTTTTGGAAAGCTGGAGAGGGAGGGGAACGGATATTAATTTTACAAGGAGAGTTGAAGTGTAAAATAAACAACAACAACAAAATAAGCAAAAAACAAAAACCTAACTTTGTACTCTTAAAATGAGTTCCTTTCCTAGTATGGAAGACCACACATCTTCTCACCACCTATCAACAGTGGAGGAGGACGACTGACCCACATACACAGAAATGACGGTTGTGTTCACATGAGAGAAACACTCAGTCACATGGGTATAGCCTGCTAAAATACAAGGGCCTTTACAATGATGATTGAAAATTTTACCAAATAATAGAAATATATTATCCTAGAATGTTACACTACTATGTTGTTGTTGTTAAGAGCTGTTGAGCTGGTTCTGACCCATAGTGACCCTGTATAGGGTTTCCAAGGAGCAGCTGGTGAGCTTGAACCACCAACCTTGTGGTTCAAAGTGATTTTGCAGTCCAGTGCATTAACCCACAGTGCCACACCAGGACTCCTACACTACTATAAGAGGGAAAAAAACAAACACTGTATAAGTAATCGAAGAACTAGTGTTCTACTTGTACAAGAATTCCAGAGGTACAAGAGCTAAAATCTATCTTATGCTATTCTTGAAGAACAAGCAGACATACTGTCGTATGAGAAAAAAAAAAAAATTATTCGGTACAACTTTTCTGTCCTTTTTCCTCACCAATGCAGTTTTTAATTTTCTTAAACCTTTCCATGATAAGTCTCCTATTTGTTCAGTTGATGCCAATCAAGATTACTGCCATAACTTTCTGAAGTGATTTCTCTGCCTTGAATTTAACTTACCCAGTCCTGGTGTGATGGTTTGGGTTAATGTGCTGGACTTCAAGATCAGTTTGAACTGCGAGGTCAGCGGATCTGGATCACCAGCTGCTCCTTAGAAACCCTATGTGGGATCGCTGAATCAGAACCAACTCCATGGCATTTAACAAGAAGTTACTGTTTTGATTGAACCTTGGTTTCTGGATCATATTGGTAAATCCAAGACTCATCTCAAGTTGTGATTCCTTCCATAAAATCATCTTCAGTAATTTCAATTTTTCCTATAGGACTGATGGGAAGATCAGCTTTTGGAGCTAGCTGATCTTCAGTGCAATGCACTTTTTAGTATTGCGTTTTGCTTTTGAGGGAATCATAACAAGAGTAAGACAAGAGTATTACTAAGAGAACTTGTCTGCTGCTGTTTGAACATGTTTTGTTTGGAATAAACCCATGCATCTATGAACTAGAATCCTAATAACAGTACTTTTTGATTTACCTTAGTATTTTTGTGAGCATGAACAGATTCTAGAAAAGCAAGAGGAAGACTAGTAAGATTCTGATACCAGTCATCACCTGTCCTCCAAACCTCTAAAACAAAAGTTGTTGTTGTGTGTATAGGTGTGTGTGTTTAAAAAACAAACAAACATTAACAGTGTCTGTGCTTCTGCTTTTTAATCATAAAATAGAGGCAGGAAATAATCCTGTAGAGATATTAAGTTCACCTTTCATCTCTAGAGTTTCGATAAGATTCTTTTTCAAATCTCTGCCTTATTTTAAGTTTCAAGTTCTGCTTTATCGTCTTTAAATTTGGCTTCTGACTGTTTGAACATCGTTAAGTAGTATGTAGCTCTTTTCTAGTCTGAGTATGATTTTGTACAGTCTACTTAGGCTGGTCCTAATTCTCTTTGATTTTGTGCTGAATGTTATATTTGGAAGAAAAAAACATATATCTGTAGAAATAACTCTTCAGAGAGGATTTTGCTTTCTTCCTAGAAGTCCAGGAGAACTAAATCCGTTCTAGGTTTGTTGTTTTCCTGGGTATCCTAGATGACACTAACATAGACTACCTGTCCATGAGATGACGGCTAGCATGATTTCCTATCAGTGTAGTCTATTAGATTTTCAACTTGAAACAGAGGGTATTTTACTAGGTTCCTTGTTCTTATCACCACCATCATCAGCTGCTGTCAGTTCACTTCTATCTCATGGCGACCCCTAGTGGCCAGACTGTGATCCATAAGGTTTTCATTGACTGAGTTTTTAAAAGTAAGTTGCTAGACCTTTCTAATTTAATCTTCAGAAAAATTCAATGAGATTGGCAATATTTAGATGGCCATTTTACAAACGAGAAAACCAACGCAGAAAACTGAAGCAGAATATGTGTTATTTTTTGAAAATAGCCTGGTTTATGACTGTCTTTGAGTAATGAACCTTTCATTTGCTAGTTAATGGAAAAAATTAAACTAGTAATGCAAAGAGACAATTTTTTAGTCTATAAGTGAGGTAAATAGAAGGTCTTAA